CAGACCATTTTTTACTCACCCTTTACCTATTATTATCACTGATACTTCACCTGCTACAGACTATTTGTTACCAACCCTTTATCTGCTACAGACCACTTGTTACTGAGTTTTTCTCTTTGGAAACTCGTATTCGGCCAGGAAAGGGTGATCATTGCTGGGGGTTCCAGCTTCTGGGGATGGAAACTTCCGTGCATGTTTATTGATGCTAGATTCTTTACGCTGATTATTATTTATATCTTAAAAGCTAATACACTGTCAACGAGAATAAGTCAAAAATCTGTTCTGTATTACAAAGGAAGATGATAGTTTCGACAGTTTTACATATCAAATTGTTTATAAACACCGATAGTGCTAGAGCAAATACAGCTTTGACTTTATACCATGTAGCAGATGAGATAAGACTTGTTCGCAAGCTATGAAACGTATCTGATTTTATCTTAATTCCATGAGAAAAACTGGCTCGACACACACCTAATGTTCAGTAAACAATAAAGAACCACCTAGAAGTAAGAACGATAACTATATCAGTTCAATCGTTCATCATCTTGCTATTCTTATCAACAATGAATATCAAACTAAAGAGAACTTTCAAAACAAGACTTAGTTCACCAAGTTCGAGAGCTACAAAACTTTCACAACTACAAAGAAAGTCTTACTGAGATATGTTGCCACAATCTTGTAATAATAAGAAAAACATTTATATCTTTATTTTAAACAGTTAATGCAGTGAATTTTTATTTTCGAGAATATAATTCATAAGTTGGGTCTTAAGAATAGGATAAAATTGTTAGTTTTGATCTTAAGGATAGGATAACTTTGATAGATTTAATCTTTAAAATGGGATGGTGTTGTTAGATTTGATCTTAAGGATAGGATAAAATTGTTAGTTTTGATCTTAAGGATAGGATAACTTTGGTAGATTTAATCTTTAAAATGGGATGGTGTTGTTAGATTTGATTTTAAGGATAGGTTAACTTTGATAGATTTAATCTTTAAAATGGGATGGTGTTGTTAGACTTTGATCTTAAGGATAGGATAAAATTGTTAGTTTTGATCTTAAAGATAGGATAACTTTGTTAGATTTGATCTCAATTATAGAATAACGTGTTTTGACTTGTTCTTAAGGATACGGTGAAATTGTTAGATCTCACCTTAAGAATAGGATAGTATTTTGATTTTATCTCAAGATAGGATAAAGTTTTTATTTTTGAAATCAAGGATAAGAGAAAACTCATAGATTTTAATCTTAAGGATGATATAATTTTGTTAGTTTGATCTTAATGATAATATAAAACTGTAATATTTGATCTTAACGTTTAAATAAAAAATATTTTTATATTAAATATGCCATACTGAACAGTAACATCAATATTGACAGACTATTCAGACAACAGTGACATCAGTTTTATTAAACTATTCAGAAAATAGTGACATCAAGCTGATCAGACTGTTCAGAATTTACCAGACAATAATAACATCGATCTCATCAGAATCTTCAGAATTTACCAGGCAACAGTAACATCACTCTCATCAAACTGTTTAGAGATTACCAGGCAACAATAACATCGATCTCATCAGAATCTTCAGAATTTACCAGGCAACAGTAACATCACTCTCATCAAACTGTTTAGAGATTACCAGGCAACAATAACATCAATCTCATCAGGCTGTTCAGAATTTACCAGACAATAATAACATCGATCTCATCAGACTGTTCAGAATTTACCAGACAATAATAACATCGATCTCATCAGACTGTTCAGAATTTACCAGACAATAATAGCATCGACCTTATCAGACTGTTTAAAGATTGCCAGGAAACAATAACACCAGTCTCATCAGACTGTTTAGAGATTACCAGGCAACAATAATATGAATTTCATCAGACTGTTTAGATATTACCAGGCAATAATAACATCAATTTCATCAGACTGTTTAGAAATTACCAAGAGCGATCAAGTTAGTATAAACTTCTGATCAAATGAGAATCAATCAACGCTACTTAAATATACTGTTCTTAGTTATAAAGATTAGATTGAGTTGTGTCATCACTGGCATCCTCGTTGTGAACTAGATTTTCGACCGTAAGATAAAAGAACGAAGGAAATTTGTGAATATCATGGTCAACAGATATCTAAATATATCCATACCAAACTGTAACAATGTCTTAAACTTCTGTTTAGTTTATGTTGTTTTTAAGTTTTCCATTTTAAAATTATTTTGGTCGAAGATCTGAAAACAGAATGACCATAATAATTGTTCGACTCAATATCAAAAACAATGTATTATTTACACATAACCATAAGCCCGTTGATGTTGATGAATAGAAACATGTGCAAATTTTAATGCTAGATTTTGTCCCCAGTAATTTAAAACGACCCCTGGACCGTTTTAGAAGCGTTTACTAGAGTGAAACTGTTATACAGTGACATTTCTTTGTCCCCGGACGAAACGCTTGTACATGTATTTTTCAGCTCGTAGAATGTTTCCTTATAGGTGATAATGTAAACGTATTAAAATATTGAAACACGTGTAAGTACATAAGTAATACACATAAGAAATTAGTCGTCCCGAAACGACGTGTAAAAGAGAGCCGATTCAAGTAAAGTATATTCGACCCTTCGTTTTCTGTTGACAAATCGCATAGTTGGAATGTTTTAAACTATTATTATCTGTTGACCAAGCATTCTGGATATGAACAAACCTAGCATGATCTCTTGGGAAGTTCAAATCAAGTGTTGGCGTGTTCTAAACTAATATTATATGGTAGCATGTTCAAATCACACTGCTGACACGTTCTAAATTAAATCTAAAGTATCATAATCTATCGACATGCTCAAACCACAATGTTGACACGATCAAACTAAACAATCTGTTAATATGACCAAACCTAGCATGATCTTTTAGCAAACTAAAACAATGCTCTTGGCATGTTCTAAACTAATATTATATGATATATTGTTAAAACCACACTGCTAGCATGTTCTAAAGTAACATAATCTGTTGGAAAGCTCAAACAATGCTGTTGGCATGTTCTGAGCTAACATAATATACTAACATGCTCACAGTAAACAATCTATTTATATGTTTTAAACTATCATAGTCTGTTGGCACGTTCAAACTAAACAATCTTTTGACATGTTCAAACCAAACAGTCTGTTGAAAATGCTCTAAACTAAAATATTCTGTTAATAAGTTGAAACATAGCATGATCTGTTAACATGGTCAAATTGACACATTTTGATGGTATGTTCAAATTACACAGTCTGTTGGCATGTTTTAAACCAAATAATCTGTTCGCATGATCAAACTAAGACGATCTGTTGGCATTTTCAAAACTACAAAAAGAAATAAAGAATCTTTTGATCAGAAGAAAATAGTACAATACATTTCTAAAATCATACTTGAAAATAAACTTCCTCGCTTGACAGATCAGACTTCGAGTTTAACCCTGTATCCAGTAAACCGATCCTGCAATATTGACTACAAAGTATATATTGTCTCCATGGAAACTGTTGATGGTGTTCAGGAATGAGTAATTGTGCCACTGTTCGTGCTTTTCATTCTGAACTTGATTAAAAAAACTAAAACCAAAACCTCAAATGTAGCAGGGAAGAGATTTTTATTTAAGGTTTTGACATCACACATAATAGCTTACATTACAACAAAGTAATAAATAGAGAAATTGATTACAATCTTGTTGGATATTACGTCACAAAACCCCTAACAGTTTTCTTTAGTCCTGGATCGGGGGAAATTCTCTCATTAATCGGAGAGTAACATTAAGAAATGGTTGATTTTATATCTTTATATGGGTTATCCATGTAAATATACTACAAAAGGGTTATTTCTTACCTTAGGATAATTTAGTAAGACCATCTTTCTAGGTTAGTCTTGTGTGAAAAATATATAAATCACATGGATAAATGCCGGGAAACCCGTGCTGTCAGTTCTCCATTACAAACAATACTTTATTTTTGAAAATTCAGTTCCTATTTTTTTCAAAAGACATTTCATTCCGAGTCTAGAAACCATTTAGAAAAAAGAAGACTGCTGTATTGTTGGGATGATGCTTAAAATTTAGTGTTTGATCCTGTCTCGTTGGGATGATACTTAAAGTGTTGTGTTTGATAGATAGTTTCTCAACCATGATAATCCTATAGAGTGAAAGACGTTAAAGAACGAGCATGGTCCGAACTCGTCTCCCTGCTGGTAGGATAGGCGCTACATCTAAACTATTGGCCTCGAATCCTTTAATTAATCTTCGCGTCACTGGGGAACGAGAATAAAAACCAGCAGGACTGCTAAGTTAGGGCGGATTCTCTTGATATTTCACAGCTTCTGTCTATTTAAACCAGTGATTTTGTTATTCTTCTACGTCTAACTCATCGGATGCATGTAATTATTATTCCTAGTGACCGACCTGTAGTGGTCAGTCTTTAGACCCATGTGTACTTCTAATATTACAATCTTTACGATTTTCTCATCGTAAACTAACGAACTAAAGCGAAGAAATCGCCTTGATCTCGGAAGTACAATCAACATCTGGTTTCTATAACAATCGTGTATTGCAATAATAATTGTCTCAACGACAATCAGAAGATTAACAGAAGATGTAACTTACAATTAAGCATTAAACTTGGAGGTTTTTACTTCTCAACAAAGAGAATGTTTTATAAATCACGGTGTAAGTTGATAATCGTTATCTGTCGCTTCATATATCATTAACATATTAAGTTATGCATTCTTGAAAAGTTTCGTCATTTACTAAATTCTGTAATAATTTTCTACCAAATAATTTGACAAGTAGAATTAAAGTACACTAATGTATCTCTTTAATCGCTATCAGCGGATTTACTTTTAAAACAATTTTAATAAATGTTACGTGAATTATCTCCATGAGTTTTTACTGTGTCTACCAGGTGTCGTTGTTAATGATTCAAAGTTTTCTAAGAAATATTGAAAGTTATCTGAGATTAAGGAACTATTTCAGAGATGTTTTAAATTATTTTAAAAACGAAACAAGTAAAGTTGAAGAGACTCGGAATATTTACAAACTAACACTTACTGGACAGTAAAGTCACCAAATTATCAGTTTAAAGAATTCGAGATTTTTATGACTATTTTTTTTATTTGTACATTTTCAGACTACCTGTCCATTTTATAACTTGACATATTTTCACATACAAAGTTTGTTCTAATTGGACTTACACAACTTCAAGAATCCATCGTACAGTTAGCTTGACATATAATACATCCAAACAAAGATGTTGGATTTTTGAAGCATCGGGACTAGAACTGGAAGCTACTGTACTATACATGGCTTGATTTAAAATGACGTCATTATTGGACACTATGAACTAAAAATGTTTCACGTAAGGGAACTGACCATACCACAAACACTATATACACGATGACGAGTATACTCCACATATGTGGATATCGAGTTATTGTTTACAATCGTAGCATAATATACAAAATCCAAACCACTTGCCTCAGTTATAGCCTATATATAGGAACTTAAACATCCAGGAAAAACGTGGTCTCTGCACGTGGTCTTGCCCGATGACGTATTCACTAATGAAGTAAGTGTTTTGACGATTAACGACATAAGTACTTCTATATAGTTTCAACCTACAGTGATGACGTCTCCTTACCCCACATAGTTCTAGCCCAGAAACTAAACGTTTTGAGAAAAAAACGGGTTAACTTACGGCCCAAGTCACCGTGGCCAGGCGGTCAGTGAAGGAGTGACGGGGTTACCGCAGGACAGCTGATGTCGGAATTTACTTAAGTCCAGACCAGTGGTGGGGCAGTAACAAGGTCCTGTCAGTCGTGGAATAAACACATTGTTCATTGACCTTACCGGCGACCCTTTGATAGAGTCGTGCTTGTGTCCAATGATGCTTTCGATGGAAAAATTGTTAGATTTGCCATTGTGGGACATACTGTTGGTGTTTGGACCGGGCGAAGTTGTTGGAAGCCGCAGAGGCAACGAGGACGCTCCCAGGCTGGGCGGCAAGCTCAGGCTGATGGGATGCAGGGGCGTTCTCGAAAAATCCCGCGGAGTAAGAAGGGGCACGGGTGTTGGCAGAGGGGAGAGGTACGGATACGGACTTGTGAGGGAAGCTGGCGTTATGGTATGGTGAAACAACCCGGGATGGTGTCGGTACGGGTCCATCGAGGCAATGAAAGCAGATGGGTCTTTGAGAGGGTCGGGCTGGTGACGCTTATACCTCTTCCGTCGCCGGAGAAAGCTGCCGTTGTCGAACATGTCTTCACTGGCCGGGTCGAGCGTCCAGTAGTTCCCCTTCCCCGGATTTCCCGGCTCTCGGGGGATCTTGATGAAACAGTCGTTTAGGGAGAGATTGTGCCGGATACTGTTCTGCCACATGGGGTACTTCTCCCTGTAGAACGGAAACCTGTTTTTGATGAACTCACAGATACCGCTGAGGGTCAGTTTTTTCTCTGGGGACTGCAAGATCGCCATCGTGATGAGGGCAATATATGAGTACGGCGGCTTGACCAAGTGGGATTTCTGCTTATTTGATTCACCAGATTCTTGATGCTGGGTCAATTCCTCGGTGCTGTCCGGTTTCGGACTTTCTGCTTGACCATTGGATTTAATCATAACCATGCTTGTTTCTTCGTCCTTTTCATGGCAATCCATGGCCACGTCCAGTTCTTGATCGTCCGAATCTACGTGAATTGGTAGATCATCTTCGTAATCACTGCTGTCCTGGTCAGTTACTCGGCGGTCTGGTGTCTGTGTGAAACACGCACTCGTTCGGTGTAGGGCATCCATAGCGATTTGGCGCTAGGGCGTAACCGACACTGTTACACAACGCAGGCCGAACACTGATCTTCCTCGTCCCGTACGGCAAAGCACATCAGCTGGCCGTATCTACAGAGAAACAGTGACAGTAGCTAAACTAAAACTGAAAACTTTACGGCACGGAAGCCAGACCACAGTTCATAAGCAGCTTTGTTTTCCAGATACATCCGGCGATGTCAAAAGAGCTACTTTTTGGCAGGAGCCACGGTCACTGCTGCCCCGTTCACATAAGAGTGCACTGAACAACAGATATTACTCTTCCAGCCAATCAGAAGTCAGATAAGTCACGTGCAGAAGAGAAAGGCGGGGAACACTATTAATAGTGACAGTGACTCCTCCTAGTAGTCACGCCTACTTTTTAATCCTATAGGCTCGGTGGGCTAAGCCGTTCACTCGTTTATGTTCTTTATAATCTGAGCGACAAACAAAATCTTCCTCTGGTAAGTTATTGTTTATCATTCTTCAATGGAATTCTACAGATTATTTATTGTTCTGTGTATTATACCGAGGGTTTACATTGCATATGGAATATCGTTCTCAATTCTCTTTGTAGAGCAAGCAGCCTCTCTATCCGTCCATAGTTTTCTATGTATTTCTATATCAGTGGTAAGGTCTGTAACTAGCTATACACACCTTTATTTCTCTCTCTCTCTCTCAATCTGTCGGTCTGCCTTTTCTAATCCTGAGCCCAGATAGAAAAATCACAACTTTTCATCTTTATTAAAAACTCTTGGTAACATTTATTTGAAGCAAAACAAACCAGCTAGGAGCAGAACTAAACACTTGCAATACTAAGGATTCAGAAGTAAAAAAGACAAATTACAGAAAATGTATGAACTCGGATGGAGATTTTCTTGTGTGTATAAAATACGCATCTTTTCTTTACAATGATTTCAATCTCCGGAAGGTCAATGTGAATTAGATACTTAAATATGTCACGGTTCATGTTTCTGTAGACTTAAAGATATGGAAAGTAATGGAACTGTAGTTGTAAGTCACGGGTCGTGTTTACGTAGACGTAGGAATGTTAAAAATAACAGAACTGTAGCTGTAAGCAAAATATGTCACGGGTCTTGTTTCCATAGACTTATAGATATTGAAAGTAACGGAACTGTTACTGTAAGTTAAATACGTAACGGGCTATGTTCCCATAGACTTATAGATATTGAAAGT